CCCCTTCGCTATGCCCCCCACCCCTCCCCCTCACCTCCCCGTTCACAACTCTCCCTCACCTCCCCCTCGCTACGCCCCCTCACCACTCTCTCTCAGCCCTCCCCCCTCATTACTCCCCCTCCCCACTCTGCCTCAGCTCCCCTTCATCGCTCCACTCCACTCCCCCCCTTTCCTCCCTTCCCAATCTCTGTGCCCCCTCATTATCCAGTCACCGTACAGTGGAAGGCCAGTGTACTTTAGCTGCTATATCAGTGACTCGAAATGATTTCATATCTTGTCCCTGTGAACACAGTCGAGTTCAGACAACAAACACAGACTTCCCAAGTCGGAAATATCGCCCTTTAGTAACGGGACTTACACGAGTGGAGAGTGCACCCCCGCCCAGCTATTACGAGGGCAGCAGCAGGGAGTTGGAGGGGATCAGTGACAGAAAGGCACAGTCAAACAGTGAACCTTGTAAAGGTGAACAGTGTTGAAACAAGCAGAGGGTTGAGACAGAAACTTGGTACTGATAATGAGGCCAGGAACACTGGGAAATGTACAGCGTTCACCTGAATGTTCTTTTTGCTTGATTACTTTTTTCTTTTTAATCATCTGCCCAAAATTCAGAAGCTGAACGAATCTGCAGGGAAAGAAGGTAAAAGCTGAATTACCTCTTTTCCTTTCTGTTGTCTTGATCACTGACGGCCACACGGCTGGGATCTTCTGACGGTGGGTGAAATCTGGCCCCAAACAAACTGGGAGCGACGGATAGGCTGAGCAAGTGACCTTCATCTGGAAAGGAAAGACTTTGCATTTATATAGCGCCTTTAATAAAGTAAAACCAGCCCAAGGCATCGTCATGTTTGATTAAGCTTGTCTGATCACAGATCCTTGTACACTGCTTGATTGCTACGGTATGTGAGTAGAGCTAAATAAGTCAAGTTTGATTGACTCCTGACACTAAGAGCGAGAATTCGAGATGGAGGGTAGGCATGCTGCTTCTAGCTGTGACTACCTGTGCAATAAAGGTAAAACATAGCCACCACAGTCCCACTCTCTCATTAGGAAGAGGGACGGACATCTGGTGGAGTGTTTAGCCCAAGGGTCAGCGTGCCTCAGATAAGGAATGAGGTTGATATTTTCATGGTAACATTGGGCAATGTAGGAATTGACCCCATGCTTATGGCAACACACTGGTTTACAAACCAGCAATCTAACTGAGCTAACCAAACCCCCATGTGTCTACTGTGGTACTCTAAAGTTCAGAAGAAGGGTCACTGGACCCAAAACTTTAACTCTGCTTTCTCTCCATAGATGCTGACAGACCTGCTGAGATTCTCCAGCAATTTCTGTGTTCGTTTCTGTAAAGGTCCAAGATGTTTGAAGTCATGCAAGTAAATTGGTTGAATCACAGATGTCGTGAAACTTGAAAGGGTTCAGAAAAAAAGATTTACAAGCATGTTGCTGGGGTTGGAGGGTTTGAGCCATAGGGAGAGGCTGAATAAGCTGGGGCTATTTTCCCTGGAGTATTGGAGGCTGAGGGGTGACCTTTTAGATGTTTATAAAATCATGAGGGGCATGGATAGGGTGAATAGACAAGGTCTTTTCCCCATGGTAGGGGAGTCAAAAACTAGAGGGACATAGGTTTAAGGCAAGAGGGGAAAGATTTATAAGGGATCTGAGGGGCAACTTTTTCACACAGAGAGTGGTGCGTGTATGGAATGAGCTGCCAAAGGAAGTGGTGGAGGCTGGTACAATTACAACATTTAAAAGGCATCTGGATGGGGACATGAATAGGAAGGGTTTAGAGGGATAAGGGCCAAATGCTGGCAAATGGGACTGGATTAATTTAGAGATAGTAGGAACTGCCGATGCTAGAGAATCTGAGATAACAAGGTGTAGAGCTGGATGAACACAGCAGGCCAAGCAGCATCAGAGGAGCATGAAAGCTGACATTTCGGGTCTGGACCCTTCTTCAGAAAGATTAAGTTAGGATATCTGGTCGGCATGCATGAGTTGGACTGAAGGGTCAGTTTCTGTGTTGTACATCTCTATGAATCTAAAGGAGAATGGAGATGAGGAGGGTTTGAGGTATTTGAAAATGAGGATGAAACGCAATAGTATGGGGCTGCTTTGCTGTCTCGGCGCAATAGAGTTCAGTTCGGTACAGGTCAGGTTCTTTTTAGCTTTGTCCTTTTGTCCTTTTAAGCTAGTATCCATTGCCTTGAAAAGGTGGTGGCGATCTGCTTTCTCGATCCACTCCAGTTCAGGTGGTGTGGTTACATCCACAGTGCTGTTCACATTCATTTCCAGGTAGGTGTAAAAGTAGGGTCTGAGCTGAAGATGTCTAACCTGATGAAAGGTCGCATAGCTCAAAAGAAACGTGGATTACGGGTGGAAAAGAATCTGGAAGGAATTCTTTAAAATGTCCTTTCACTAACTGTGTCTGCCCCACCCCTCGTGTTGACTGTATTTTGAAAGATGGTCCATATTTTCTGTTATTGCATCCATAGCCTTGGTTCACATGTGGTATTTGGCAACAGAAGCTCCCCACTTCAATCTTCATTTTTGATCAAATATCCAGAGTCTCTCTCGCATTTATACAAATTGCTGTGTCGAGTTATACCAAATTTACAGCCCAGGAGTAGGCCATTCAGCCCAACCGATTCACACTTATCCTCAAAGCATTGAGAGCAAAGGACAAATACCTGGACTGCTGTCCTCATTCTCCATCGAGCTACTGATTGGCCAAGATTCAAACCTGGATGGAGGGTAAATAAATGCAGATCGTTACTTGGTTTTCCTTCAGACACTTCGGTGAAGACTCAAGTTTCAAATTCACACATTATCTATGAGGGGAAAGTAGCGTTATAGCAATGTCACAGGATGAGTAATCCAGAGTCCCAGGTTAACACAGAAACGTAGCCAATAGAAGCAGGAGTAGGCCAATCAGCCTGCTTCAACATGATCATAGCTGATCATCCAACTCAGTCCCCTGTTCACACTTTCTCTCCTTTGATCTCTTTAGCCCTAAAACCTAGATCTAACTCCTCCTTGAAAACATTCAATGTTTTGGCCTCAACCGCTTTCTGCAGCAGAGAATTACACAGGCTCCCAACTCTCTGGGAGAAGAAATTCGTCCTCATCTCAGTCCTAAATGGCCTACTCCTTATCCTTAAAATGCCTGGGTGTGGAATCTCCCACCTTTGGGAACATCCTTCCTGTATCTGCCCTGTCTTGTCCATTTAGAATTTTACAGGTTTCTATGAAATCACCCCGATTCCTCTAAACTCCAGTGAATAGAGTCTTAACTGATCCAGGTTAATGAATCATTGGTTCAAATCCCACCAAGGTAACTAAATTCTCTCAATGAATCCAGAATTGAAAGCTAGTCTTAGTAATGGAAATCCATGAAACTATTGCCAGTTGTTGCAAAAACCAATCTGGGTCACTAATGTCCTTTAGGGACGGAAACCTGCTGCCCTTACCCGGTCTGGCCTACACGTGACTCCAGACCCACAGCCCTCCGAGATGGCTGTGCAAACCAGCCAGTTCAAGAGGGATGGAACAAAGTGGTGGCCTCGGCAGCAAAGCCCATGTTCCCTGAATAAATTCTAAAACAGTGCCAAGGTTGAGACGGCCAATAGGTTAAGGTGGGTCAGAACACGGCATTTAGTTGGCTCAGATTTTGGAAGAGAAAAGGTGAGGTGGAAGTTTGAGATGAATGAGGATGATGGGATAAATCTGTAGTGATACAAGATGGAGATGCTGAGAATCTGAAACTACAAAACAAAAACAGGAATTGTTGGAAATACTCAGCAGGGCCCAGAAGGAGAAAGAAATTGATGGCCTGAATTTATAGTCACAGCACAGAAGGTGGTTGTTCGGCCCATCGTGTTGTACCGGTCACCAGGATTCTAGTCGCATTTCCCATGCCCTGTATGCTAATGTGCTTCAAGTAATTATCTAAATACTTCCTAAATGTCACGATGGTTGTTGCCTTGACTACCCTTTTAGGCTTACTCAGATATCCCCCACCATCTGGGTAAAAAAAATTCTTCCTCAAATGCCCTCTAAACCACCTGCTCCTTATCTGAAAACTGTGTCCCCTGTGGTTATTGACCACTCAACTAATAAGAAAGGTTTCTTCCTACCTATCCTGTCCATTCCCCTCAGAACTTTGTACACCTCAGTCAGGTGTCTCCCACTTCGATCTTCTCTGCTCTAAGACCAACAATGCCAGATTTCGGGGAGGTGGGGGCGGTTGTGGGCTATCTCATTGCCAGCCCTGTGCCAGGGAGGGTTAGTTTGTTTGTGGAACTCAGTCAGGCACTGTCTCCAGGAGCTTCCATCTTCGAGAGCCAATCAGATTGACTGGCAGCTCTTGAGCGTTTATTGGATAGTGCTGGAGCTCACTCAGGACCTGCAAGTGGCTCCCACAAAGATGGTGGCATGGAATCTGGACTTGGATTGGTCAGGCTGGGGAGGGAGCGGGACGGTGGTCAGTGATTGGGCCTAGAGGCAACATGGGAAGAGGGGTGGGCAGTAGGGTTGGCGAATGTTGTTGGGGGGGGGGTTGTCGGTGGGGGGCGGAGGTTGTGTACCATCTCGGTGGTGCAGGTGTGAGGGAGGGAGTAGGACATGGCACCCACTAAAGGGGAGTTTTCCATCTTTACCTGCCTTCCCACTTTTTCACCAGAGTTGAGTCAAAGCAGTCTGCACATCTTGCCGCCCTCTGCCCCAAAACTGCCGACTACAATACAGCAAAGGCAGCATACTATCCGAGTGAAAGTGTGTGGAGCTGGAGGAACACAGTAGGCCAGGCAGCATCAGAGGAGCAGGAAAGCTGACGTTTCAGGTCGGGACCCTTCTTCAGAAAATTTTTTTTGTGAAGAAGGGTCCCGATCTGAAACATCAACTTTCCTGCTCCTCTGATGTTGCCTGGCCTGCTGTGTTCCTCTAGCTCCACACTGTGTTATCTCTGTCTCTGCAGCTCTGCATCTGCAGCTCTTGCTATCTCATAATATCCGAGTTGATTGGCTTCTTAATTGGCTGAATTGGCCTTTAATAAGCTCTTCTTTTCAAGAAAGGCTCTCTCCTCTATTACAGGGAACTAATGTCGGATTTATAATCTAAAGCCAGCACATCAGGCTCCATGTTTCCATCAATGGCGGAGTCCCTGTGTAAGATTCTGGCCAACATCGGAGAACAGGAGATAACAAGGTGTAGAGCTGGATGAACACAGCAGGCCAAGCAGCATCAGAGGAGCAGGAAGGCTGACGTTTCGGGCCTAGACTCTTCTTCAGAAATGGGAGAGGGGAAGGAGGTTCTGAAATAAATAGGGAGAGAGGGGGAGGCGGATAGAAGATGGATAGAGGAGAAGATAGGTGGAGAGGAGACAGACAGGACAAAGACGCGGGGATGGAGCCAGTAAAGGTGAGTGTAGGTGGGGAGTTAGGGAGGGGATAGATCAGTCCAGAGAGGACGGACAGGTCAAGGAGGCGGGGATGAGGCTGGTAGGTAGGAGGTGGGAGTGGAGCTTGAGGTGGGAGGAGGGGATAGGTGGGAGGAAGGACAGGTTAGGGAGGTGGGGACGAGCTGTGCTGGTTTTGGGATGCAACCGATACCATTTCAAGTCCACCTCCTCCCACCCACCTTCCTGCAAAAATGCCATCCCCTATTCCCAATTCCTTCGCCTCCGCCGCATCTGCTCCCAGGATGAAGCATTCCACTCCCGTACATCTCAGATGTCCTCGTTTTTCAAGGACCGCAACTTACCCGCCTCAGTGGTCGAGAACGCCCTTGACCGTGTCTCCCGCATTTCCCGCAACTCATCCCTCACACCCCCTCCCCGCAGTAACAACCAAAACAGAATCCCCCTCGTCCTCACGTACCACCCCACCAACCTCCGGGGGGATCCAACGCATCATCCTCCGACACTTCCACCATCTGCAATCCGATCCCACCACTAAAGACATTTTTCCCTTCCCACCCTTATCTGCTTTCCGGAGGGACCACTCTCTCCAGGACTCCCTTGTCCGCTCCACACTCCCCTCCAGCCCCACCACACCTGGCACTTTTCCCTGCAACCACAGGAAGTGCTACACCTGCCCCTACACCTCCCCCCTCACCCCCATCCCAGGTCCCAAATAGACTTTCCACATCAAGCAGATGTTCACCTGCACATCTGCTAATGTGGTATACTGCATCCGCTGTTCCCGTTGTGGCCTCCTCTACATCGGGGAAACCAAGCGGAGGCTTGGGGACCGCTTTGCAGAACACCTATGCTTGGTTCGCAATAAACAACTGCACCTCCCAGTCGCGAGCCATTTCAACTCCCCCTCCCATTCCTCAGACGACATGTCTATCCTGGGCCTCCTGCAGTGCCACAACGATGCCACCCAAAGGTTGCAGGAACAGCAACTCATATTCCGCTTGGGAACCCTACAGCCCAATGGTATCAATGTGGATTTCACAAGCTTCAAAATCTCCCCTCCCCCTACCGCATCCCAAAACCAGCCCAGCTCGTCCCCGCCTCCCTAACCTGTCCTTCCTCCCACCTATCCCCTCCTCCCACCTCAAGCCCCACCCCCATCTCCTACTTACTAGTCTCATCCCACCCCCTTGACCTGTCCGTCCTCCCTGGACTGACCTATCCCCTCCCTAACTCCCCACCTACACTCACCTTTACTGGCTCCATCCCCGCCTCTTTGACCTGTCTGTCTCCTCTCCACCTATCTTCTCCTCTATCCATCTTCTATCCGCCTCCCCCTCTCTCCCTATTTATTTCAGAACCTCCTTCCCCACCCCCATTTCTGAAGAAGAGTCTAGGCCCTAAATGTCAGCCTTCCTGCTCCTATGATGCTGCTTGGCCAGCTGTGTTCATCCAGCTCTACACCTTGTTATCTCAGATTCTCCAGCATCTGCAGTTCCCACTATATCAGAGAACAGGACATTGGTTTGGCCACTTTTGGAATACTGTGTTCCATCCTGGTCTCCTTGCTATAGGAAAGATGTTGTTAAACTTGAAAGGGTTCAGAAAAGATTTACAAGGATGTTGCTGGGGTTGCAGGGTTTGATCTATAGGGAGAGGCTGAATAGGCTGGGGCTATTTTCCTTGGAGTGTTTGAGGCTGAGGGGTGACCTTACAGAGGCTTATAAAATCACAAGGGGCATGGATAGGGTGAATAGTCAAGGTCTTTTCCCCAGGGTGGTGGAGTCCAAAACTAGAGGGCAGAGGTATAAGGTGAGAGAGGAAAGATTTAAAAGGGACCTCAGGGGCAGCTTTTTCACACAGAGGGTGGAGTGTGTATGGAATGAGCTGCCAGAGGAAGTGGTGGAGGCTGGTACAGTTACAACATTTAAAAGGCATCTGGATGGGTATATGAATAGGGTAGGGTTTAGAGGGATATGGGCCAAATGGTGGCAAATGGGACTAGATTAATTTAGGATATCTGGTCGGCATGGACAAGTTGGACCGAACGGTGTATCTTTGTGCTGTACAGCTCTATGACTCTATAATTAACAAAAGGCCATTGACTGGAAACATTAACTCTGTTTCTCTCTCTCCACAGACTCTGCCTCATCTGTCTGGTATTCCCAGCATTTTCCATTGTTATTTCAAACTCCCACAAATTTGGTGATTATGCTTCCTCCCACCAATCTCTACTTCCTGTTGAGACTTCATTCCTAGTTTCTCTGCCCTTGCTGCATCAGTTCTAATGGTTCGACCTTCTATGTCAACGCTTCCAGCTTCCTTCTTGGAAGATCCTCTCATTGTGCTTGATGGGGCCTCAACCATTCCAACCCAACTCCCTCACTTCTTCGCATCTATCCCTCTCCCTTCCAGAACCACAATGGAGTTTTCCCGCTGCTTGTAAGGTTGACACAACAGGGATGGAAATTCAATGATTTTTCTTGGTCTCTGATCCTAATCTCTTTCCCAACTGCTTTTTGCCTCTCTCGCTCACATCTGTGTCTCTCTCTTCGCCACTCCCACTCTTTCTTGCGATCACTGTCTCTCTCCTGCACTCACTCTGTCTCTTTCTTTCTCCCACCCTTTGTATGAAATCCCCACCTCGGAAGTGACAAGGAGGGGAAACAGTTGAGCGGGTCGGCCCTTTAGGGATACCAGCCCCTGTCCTGCCACCTCATTAATTAAGTTCTGGATGAGAAGGTCCATGGGGGGCCATCTCCCGCCAGCTATTAAGGCCATGATGTGGTCAATTAATGGACGCATTAAGGCCTCAACTCACCACCTTTCTTTCTGGCAGTCAAGAAAGGTAGCTGGTTTCCTGACTGAGTAACCACGGTGACCTGCCTTTGGTGGTGGTGATGGTGGGTGGAGGGGGTGAGGCATCTTCAATTGTACCAGTCTGTGACACAGATGTTGAGGGGTGGCAGAGGTTAGTCTCTGGAAGCCATTCCCCTGCCCTTGCCTCTGACCCCACCCCGCCCTCAAACCCCTCCCTCTCTCTCTCTCTCTCCCTGTACTGAGGAGAAGCTCCTTGACAACCTGGAAGTTGCCAGCATCTGATTGGCCGGCAGCTTCTGGCGACTCAGGACGCCAGCGTCAAGCTCCTTGATAGGCCAGGAAATTGGCCAAAGCTCGCCAGTCAGCTCTTAACAAGGTGCGCGATTGGTCACATTTTCTCAGCAGTGGGACTAGTCTGTTAGTCAACAGTTAGCACATTCACTATGACACTCAATCCCAAAATAAGAAAAGCTGTGCCCTTTCCCTCTCTCAAGCTGTCATTCTTCGTCTTTGCCAATCTCTCTCTTGTCTCCCTCGTTCTTTCTGTCATTCTTTGTTTCTGTCTCTCTCTTTCTCTCCCTTCCTCTTTCTCTTAAGTCTCCCATTCTGTTTCTGTCATTCTTTATCTCTCTCACTCTCCCTCTTGCCCTCTGTCTCTCTCGCTCTTTGTCCCGCTCTCATATTCACATACTCTTGTTATTTTTTGTCTCTGGTGCTTTTAATCTCCCCCTTTCTTGCTCCCTGTTTCTCTTTCTCTCGCTCTCTCTCTCATTCGTTTACCACTTCTCTCTCCTGCTCCTATCACTTTCACTGAGCTTGCCTTTTCTCCTTAAAATTATAAACATTTCACACTGAATTTTGCAGTGATAAAAGACAAAATCCCAGTGCATCACTCTGCAATCATGACAATGGAGTATTAATCACGTCATGCAAAGAATATAAATATGATTTATAAAAACAAAGCCAAGTGGGAAAATAAACCAATTTTTTCACGCCAAACATTGTGTCTATATATTTTTATGCTGTTCAAATGGTTTGTAGAGCACTGTATCCAGGGGCAAGTGATAAGGCGCTTTGTCCTGAGTTCCTGCACATTCCAAGCTCTGAATTCAGTCTCACCTAAACAGCTGTGTATTTGGTCACATCTCCGAGAAGCCAAGTCATTTTACCTGCCGGCTGGTTCCTCCTGCTTCAGACGACGCATCAAAGATTCTTTGCAAGGTGGGAATGCCATCATCGAGAATCTATTCATCTCCCTCTCTTGTTCAATATCGCTCCACAATAGCTCCTGAAATACAGTTCGATTTAACATTGATAACTTACTTACCAAAGGAGCTTGTATTCTGCGGTGGATATTGTCCCTGTCTCTGGATTGGGGTAGAGCCTGGGTTTAAGTCCCAGCACAGGACTTGCTGGCTGGGCCCAGCATTTATTGTCCATCCCTAGTTGCCCCCTTGAGAACAAAGAAGATTACAGCACAGGAACAGGCCCTTCGGCCCTCCAAGCCTGCGCCGATCCAGATCCTCTATCTAAACCTGTCGCCTATTTTCCAAGGATCTGTATCCCTCCGCTCCCTGCCCATTCATGTATCTGTCTAGATACATCTTAAATGATGCTATCGTGCCCGCCTCTACCACCTTCACTGGCAACGCATTCCAGGCACCCACCACCCTCTGCGTAAAGAACTTTCCATGCATATCTCCTTTAAACTTTTCCCCTCTCACCTTGAAATCATGACCCCTAGTAATTGAGTCCCCAACTCTGGGAAAAAGCTTCTTGCTATCCACCCTGTCTATAACCCTCATGATTTTGCAGACCTCAGTCAGGTCCCCCCTCAACCTCCGTCTTTCTAATGTAAATAATCCTAATCTACTCAACCTCTCAACCACCTCAAGAAGGTGGGGGTAAGCTGCCTTCTTGAACCACTGCAGTCCATGTGCTGTGAGCTGCTGTTTGGGAGGGAATTCCAGGATTTTGACCCAGCGACAGTGAAGGAACGGCGATATATTTCCAAGTCAGGATGGTAAGTAGCTTAGAGGGGAACTCGCAGGGGGTGGCGTTCCCATGTATCTGCTGCCCTTGTCCTTCTAGATGGAAGGGTCGTGGGTTTGGAAGGTGCTGCCTGAGGATCTTTGGTGAATTCCTGCAGTGCATCTTGTAGACAATACAACTTGCTGCCCAGAGTGTCACTGGTGGAGGGACTGGGTGTTTGCGGATGTAGTGCCAATCAAGCGGAGGCTGCTTCGTCCTGGATGGTGTCAAGCTTTTGTTTGCTAACTTGAAGGATCAGTGGGGATCTCTCCTGTTTCACTGAATCAAGTTCAAAGCAAATAAATCATTAAACAAGAGGGAGTTAACACATATAAAAAGTCTTTATTACCGGTTGGAGCCAAGAGGACTGCTCTGAAAGCTGGGATAATTGTGTTTTGGGGAGTCAAAAGCATCCTTAGGCCAGGGAGATCACAACACAGTCAGAGTTTCGGATCGTGTACAGAAACCAAATATTGGGGATGCTGGAAATCTGAAGTTAAAGGCAAAAATGCAGGAAATACTCAGCAAGTCCTGCAGCATTTGAGGGGGCAGAAATGGAGTTTCAGGACTCTTCAGTACAGCAAGAAGATAGAAATGTAAATTATTGTCCTTCTCTAGTTGCCCAGGGGTCTTATGAGAGCAGAAGGAACAGGGATAGGAAAGAGTAAACTTGAGGAACAGCCAATTAGAATCCCTACAGTGTGGAAACAGGCCCTTTGGCCCAACAAGTCCACAATGACACTTGGACCATCCCACCCAGACCCATTCCCCTATAACCCACATGTCACTGAACACCATCGGTAATGTAGCATGGCCAATCCACCTAGCCTGCACATCTTTGGACTGTGGGAGGTAACTGAAGGAAACCCATGCAGACATGGGGAGAACATGCAAACTACACACAGACAGTTGCCTGGGGGTGGAATTGAACCCAGGTCCCTGGCGCTGTGAGGCAGCAAAGCTAACCACTGAGCCACCGTGCCACCCTCTTAGCTTTCAACTCAACACTCCACAGCCTCGTAGCCTCAACACTGCATTCAACAATTTTAGATCTGAATTTCTGTCTTCTTTATTTTGCTGTCTTTTTAATTTCTTAATGTTGGATCCACAACAGCTGCTTTATAGATGCTTGTGCTGTTCCAGGACACAACCTCTGCTCAGGTATGACCAATTACTGCTCTCCCTGGCTTTTGCATCATGAAATCTTCTGCTATTTCATCTCTCCTACCCCTTCACCCCATCACACATCTCCCTGCACCAGCTGAAATTACCATGAAAGGACTCTCCTTCTCAACCTCTCCCCTGCCCCTGAGGCGTGGTGACCCTCAGGTTAAACCACCACTGGTCATCTATCTCTCTCGCTCTCTCTCTCTCCCCGCCACCGTCCTTCCCTCCCTCGGGGGGGGGGGGGGGGGGGTGTGTGTGCGTGGTACCAATTGAGTGGCTGATTTTTCCTGATGGGATTGAGTTTGCTTAGCGTAGTTGGAGCTGCAATCATCCAGGCAAGTGGGGAGTATTCCACATTTGGAATACTGCATACAATTCTAGTCGCCTTTCTATGGGAAGGATGTTATTACACTGGACAGGGTGCAATAAAGATTTGCAAGGATGTTAACAGGACTGTAAGGTTTAAGTTATAAGGAGAGGCTGGTAAGGACTGGATTTTTTTTCCCTGAATCGCAGGAGGCTGAGGAATGTCCTTATTAGAGATTTATAAAATCATGAGGGTTTTAGGTAAGTTGAATAGCCAAGGTGTTTTCCCCAGGGTGGGTGAGTCTAAAACTAGAGGGCATAGGTTTGAGGTGAGAGGGGAAAGATATAAAAGGGACCTCAGGGGCAACTTTTTCATGCAGAAGGTGGCGTGTGCAAGGAAGGAGCTGCCAGAGAAAGTGGTGGAAGGCTGGTACAATTACAGCATTTAAAATACGTTGGAAAAGTACATGAATAGAAAAGGTTTAAAGCAATATGGGCCAAACGTAGGCAAAAGGAACTAGTTTGGTTTAGGAAATCTGGTCAGCATGGACAAGTTGGGCCAAAGGGTCTGTTTCCATGCCGTATGACTCTATGTCTCTATTGTAAGAGGTAACAAGCTTTAGGGATACAGGAGTTCAGTAACTATAAGATATTGACCTTGGGCAGCTCAGTGATGATAATGTCATTGAATGTTAAGTGGAGATGGGCAGACTCTTTTTTCATAAGGGAACTGCTATTTATTCATTCGTTGATGGGATGTAGGTATCGCTGACAATTCCCTAATTGCCCTCAAGAAGGTGGTAGTGAGCTGCCTTCTCGAACCACTGCAGTCCATGGGAGTTAGATACATCCACAGCAGTGCTAGGAAGGAAGTTCCACGATTTTGACCCAAAATTACGGTCACTTTTAGTACTTGCGTAGCACAAAAGCTGTTCGTTATTTTCCAGCCCAAGCCAGAATATTGACCAGAGCTGGCTGAAACTGTTCTAATAATCGAAAGGTCGCAAATGGTTCTGAATATTCTGCAATCATCAGCAAACCTCCTCACCTCTGACCTTTTGTTGGCCGTTGATGATGTGGCTGAAGATGGTTGGGCCTAGATAACTCTGGACTCGATTTTCACAGAGTCAAAGAGGCTCCGCGATTTGGGATTCTTGCCTCCATTCCCACCGTCTTCAATTCAGGGGCGGCTCAGTGGTTAGCACTGCTACCTCACAGCGCCAGGGGCCCGGGTTCGATTCCACCCTCGGGCGACTGTCTGTCTGGAGTTTGCACATTCTCCCCCAAGTCTGCATGGGTTTCCTCCGGGTGCTCCGGTTTCCTCCCACAGTCCAAACCGTGTGCTGGTCAGGGTGGATCGGCCATGCTAAATTGCGCCATCGTGTCCAGGCTGGGTGGATTAGCCATGGGAAATGCAGGTTGACAGGGATTTGGTAGGGGGGGGCGTGTCTGGGTGGGATGCTCTTCGGAGGGTCGGGGTAGACTCGATGGGCTGAATGGCCTGTTTCCACACCGTAGGGATTCTAGCTGGACAGAAGATTGTATCTACCCAACTCCTGCCTGGTCACCTCCATTGCAAAGGAAAGGAAGCGTCACCTGGCACAACAATTCCTATTGGGCCAAGCCAACTTCCTCAAGATTGATGGTTCACAACCCCTTGGAGGAGGATACAAGTCCAGAGAAGGTTCCTTAAGCTGTTGCTTGGTATGGAGGGAGGTTCTTACAAGGAGAGGACGAGGAGATTAGAGTTTGTAAAAATGACAGGCAGCTTTGTTGCAGCATACAGGACTCTAAGAGGGCTCTCAACAGAGTAGGTGCTGTTACGAGAGAGTCTAAGACCAGACAGTATAATCTCAGAGTAAGAGGTCACACATTTAAGGCAGAGATGAGGAGGAATTTCTTTCTCTTAGGGTGCTGTGAATTCTTTACCGCAGAGGGCTGTCAAGGCTGGGTCTTTCAGTAAATTCAAGGCTGATACAGAGAGATTTTTTTTTAATCAATAAGCAAATCAATGATTGTATGACAAAGGTAGGAAAGCAGGACTGAGGGTAATCAGATCAGCCATGATCTAATTGAATGGTGGAGCAGTGTCAATGCACTGAATGGCCTGCTTCTACATCTTATAACTCCTGCTATCTGCCTCCAACGTGAAACTCAAGCAGAACACGTCTCTTTTAATGATATATCTCTGTACCTGCCTGTATAATCAGAAGAGTCATAGAGACATACAGCAAGGAAACAGACCCTTCGGTCCAACCAACTAAACTAGTCCCACCTGCCTGCGCTTGGCCCATATCCCTCCAAACATTTCCTATCCTTGTACTTATCCAAATGTCTTTTAAACATTGTAACTGTACCCACATCCACCACTTCCTCTGGAAGTTCATTCCACACATGAACCATTCTCTGTGTAAAAAAAAATGCCCCTTTGTGTCCTTTTTAAAATCTTTCTCCTCTCACCTTAAAAATATGCTTCTTACTCTTGAAATCCCCCACCCTAGGGAAAAAACAGGATATAAATTAACCCCAATGCCTGTCGAATAGGCTTCTAATAATAATAACAAGAACAATCTGTATTTGTACAGCATAAGATGGCCCAAGGTGCTTCACTGCAGCTTTATAAAGAGCACTTTGACATTGGATCACAGAGGGGAGATGTTAATGCAGATAGTCAAGGGCTTGGTGAAAGAGTCTGAAGGAACATCTTCCACAGAATCCCTACAGTGTAGCAACAGTCCATTCAGCCCATCAAGTTCAACCAACCCCCTGAAGAGCATCCTACCCAAACCCACCATCCCTGTAACCCTGCATTTCCCATGGCTAACCCATCTTGCTTGCACATCCCTGGACACTATGGGACAAATCAGCACAGCCAACCCACCCTAACCTGCACATCTTTAGGGAGGAAACTGGAGCACCCGGAGGAAACCCACACAGACACGGGGAGAATGTGCAAACTCCACACAGACAGTTGCCTGAGGGTGGAATCGAACCTAGGTCCCTGGTACTATGAGGCAGCAGTGCTAACCACTGAGCCACTGAGCCACCAAGCCACCTCTTAAAGACAAGAGAGAAGCAGATGCCAGCTCCAGTGCGTGTGTACCAAGAAGGTACCCACCCCGACCCACCAATGATGGAGAGATTGCCATTGGAAATGGTCAAAAGGCAAGAACTGGAGGAAAGCACAGTGTACATCAGATGGTTTTACAGCAGGAGGCGATTATAGAGATACAGAAGGGGGAGGTCATTGAGGTACTTGGAAACAAAGATGAAAATTTTGAAATCACGCACGGACCAAATTAAAATGGGAAACAGTCCAACCAATGCATTGATGCCCCATACGCACTGAGAACTGTGGAAACTTACCACTGGGGATAGCTCTTCACCATATTCACTCACTAGAAAATCAAAAAGAAAAATACATGCTGTTGTTGGTAGTGAGAATGCCATATTGCTGTCTTTTAGTCAGTCAGTTATGCCCTTGCTTTCACAACAATTCGCTGCACTGATATCATGCCAATTCAGTTTTCTATACACTCATGGCATTTTAGAATAAGCTTTCAGTTCTGGTCTCCCTGCTCTAGGAAGGACGTTGTTAAACTTGAAAGGGTTCAGGAAAGTTTTATAAGGATTTTGCCAGGACTGGAGGGTTTGAGTTTACAGGGAGAAGTTGAATAGACTGGGACTGTTTTTCCCTGGAGCGTCGGAGACTGAGGGGTGAGGCCAGAACTGAATGCAGTATTTCAAAGGTGGCCTCATCAACGACCTGCACAGCAAAATGATGCCCCAACTCCTATACTCCATGCACTGGCCAACAGGCTGGGGCTATTTTCTCTGGAGTGTTGGAGGCTGAGGGATGACCTTATGGAGGTTTATAGAATCATGAGGGGCATGGATAGGGTAAATAGTCAAGGTCTGTTTTCCCAGGGTAGGTGTCCAAAACTAGAGGGTGTAGGTTTAAGGTGAGAGGGGAAAGGTTTAGAATGGACAACATTTTCACACAGAGGGAGCTGCCAGAGCAAGTGGTGGAGGCTGGTACAATTACAACATTTAAAAGGCGTCTGGATGGGTACATGAATAGAAAGGGTTTAGAGGGATATGGGCCAAATGCTGGCAAATGGGACTAGATTAATTTAGGATATTTGATCGACATGGAGAAGTTGGACTGAAGGGTCTGTTTTTGCTTCCCCGCTGGTGTTTTCAAGAGCCCCTCTCTGAGTAGAAGTTGGGCTCCAGAATCCAGTTCCCGAAAAATCTCATCCAAGCGGTTATTCGGCGAGGAAGGAAACATACAAACTGGAACCCAAAAACAAATGCTTCCCAAGGCCTTTCTTATTCTCCGCCATAACCTTTGTCAGGAATTGAATGACTGGAGAACATCCAAGAAAATACGTGGCAATGGCCCAAGTAACATAATTGTTGCAGACACTCACTATCACGGCTACCTCGGTCCAAGCCTCCTTCATCATTCAGGATGGCCTCTACTTGCCACCCCTTGGAAATAGAACGTGCTTTACCTCCTGCACCATAAGCTCTAGGGGCAGAATTAGGCCATTCGACCCAACAAGTCTGCTCTACTATTCAATCATTGTTGGTATGTTTCTCTACCCCATTCTCCTGCCTCCTGCCCATAACCCTTGATCCCTATAACAGCCAAGGAGTTGCATGGTCTGCAGGAGAATCTCAAAGATCCTCTGTGGAACAGACGTCATGGAATCCAGGGTCAATACCGAGGGCTCCCATGCTCCCTACTGCATACTACTGTGCCATCAGCTCTGCTGGGCCTGTCCTATTGATGAGACAGGAGAAAGGGATGGCACTGCTAGTGGTGTTTGTGGCTCCTAATCTCCCAGCCCTTTCTCCTGGCCTGTCATGCCCTCTGTTACTTTTCTACATATCTGCGTATCCTACCCACCCCAGACACCCATGCACCTTGAGATTCCTCCGGTAATCATCACATGTAGCTCCTAAAGATGAAAGACTCAAACCTGCCTGCAGCTCTCTGCTACTCTGCCCCTAGTGAGCCTGGTATAGACAGACAGAGATTGAGAGACTTGCTCAGCTTCCCATAATTTCCCTGGAGAAAAGACCTTGGCTTTTCACCCTATCCATGCCCCTCCTGATTGTATAAACATCTATAATGCCACCACTCAGCCTCCGATTCTCCAGGGAAAATACCCTCCAACCCCGGCAACATCCTTGTAAATGTTTTCTGAACCCTTCCAAGTTTAACAACATCTTTCCTATAGCAGGGAGATCAGAACTGAACGCAGTATTCCGAAAGTGGCCTAACCAATGTCCTGTACAGCCTCAACGTGACCTCCCAACTCCTGTACTCAATGCACTGACCAATAAAGTCAAGCGTACCAAATGCCTTCTTCTCTATCCTGTCTACCTGCGACTCCACTCTCAAAGAACTATGAACCTGCACTCCAAGGTCTCTTTGTTCGGCAACACTCCCCAGGACCTTACCATTAAGTGTATAAGTCCTGCCCTGATTTGCTTTACCAAAATGCAATACCTCACATTTATTTAAATTAAGCTCCATCTGTCACCCTATCTATGCCCGTCATGATTTTATAAATTTCCATAAAGTCACCCTTCAGCCTCCAATGCTCCAGGGAAAATGGCCCCAGCCTATTCAGTCTCTCCCTATAGCTCAAGCCCTCTAACCTCAGCAACGTCCTTGTAAATCTTTTCTGCACATTTTTGAGTTTAAGAACATCTTTGGATGAGGATCAGAAGTTTTTCATTTATGGTGCACTTTTCAATGACCTCCAGATAATTCAAAGTTGCTGTCGCTGTTGTAATGTAAGAAAGTGGCAGTCAATTTGTGAACAGGAAGCTCCCCCTAAACACTTTGATTGGGCTGTTGGATGAGGTCAGGACACCAGGGGGCACAACTTTCTTTCAACATGAAGATTATGCTCAGTTCCTTTCAGTGAGACTTGATTACACGACCATCTGTTACAAATGAACACAACCGCAGCTGATAAACCCTAGCTGTGTCATTTCTTAGGTTTTCCCACAATTTCAAAAGTCCCTAAATTTAGGAACATCTCTTAGTCCATTTTCTCGCTTTTATTATAACTCCTAAATGACTCAAAAATACAGCAACGCAAGATGAGGATAAATTGTGACAGAGGCTTCGTACTTTTCAGGAAGAGAGGACTGTGTTGATAATAAAGACTGCCCCGTGGAGATAAACTATGTTTTCATAATGTTGCATTTCCTTTTCAATTTACTTCTGGCGCATGTTGACTCCTTGCTAAAGCACATATCGTTAAGCAACACCTTTCCTCCTCTATGCATCTATCTGCCCAGTATTGATACATTAACCATTTTATTGCTTGCTCAGTGGTGGAGGGTGATGCACAGTTGAGCGTAGGGCCATTATAATTGACATTCCTCACCGAAAGTGAGTGGGTGGTGTATGGGCCAGGAAATTAGCCAGCATTCCTGGAAATGCATAAATATTTATGCCTTTTCTTCAGACTCAAATACAGATAATGTTTCTATCGTCCATGGGGCTGCTCTCTCATTCGAGCTGAGGGATGCCAAATTCTCAGGTGAAGGGAGAGGTTGGGAAGGAGAGTCCTTTACGGTAACCCCTGCCAGTGTGGGGATTAAACCCCACAGCCCATCGCTGCTCAGTGTCTGAGAGTCAACGACTCCATTCTCCTCTGGCCTTGAGTCTTTCGAGTTATTGCTCTGTGGGAGAGTGGCTGAGGAATCAGAGAGAGAAAATATAAAAAGGCTTACTTCGCAGTGGGCTGCACCAAAAGGAGTGAATTACATTGTTGCAACACCTTCCATTGGCTCAGGATGTCCCAAAGCATTTCACAGCCAATGAAAATTATTTCAAGTTGTGTTCACTCTCAAGATGGCCGAAGAAGAGTCAGAGACTAAGGCCAGTAGGACTAGGAGGAAGAACAGACAGGAAAAGGTTGCTGAACATGGGAGGATTGGTGGTCTGAAGTGTACTTTTTTATTATGAGGAGCATGACAGGTGAGGCAGATGGACTTAGAGCTTGGATTTTTAACTATTTTTAAAAAATTTACTTGTGACGTGTGGACATCACAGGCTGGGCCCAGCATTTATTGTCCGTCCCTAGTTGCCCCTTGAGAAGGTGGGGGTGAGCTGCCTTCTTGAACCGCTGCAGTCCACCTGCTGTGGGTTGACCCACAATGCCCTTAGGGAGGGAATTCCAGGATTTTGACCCAGTGACAGTGAAGGAACGGAGATATATTTCCAAGTCAGGATGGTGAGTGGCTTGGAGGGGAACTTGAAGGTTGTGGTGTTCCCATTTATCTGCTGCCCTTGTCCTTCTAGATGGAAGTGGTTGTAGGTTCGGAAGGGGCTGACTGAGGATCTTTGGTGAATTCCTGCAGTGCATCTTGTAGATAGTACACACTGCTGCTACTGAGTGTGGAGGGAGTGGATGCTTGTGGATGTGGTCCCAATCAAGCGGGCTGCTTTGTCCTGGATGGTGTCGAGCTTCTTGAGTGTTGTTGGAGTTGCACCCATCCAGGCAAGTGGGGAGTATTCCATCACACTCCTGACTTGTGCCTTGTAGATGGTGGACAGGCTTTGGGGAGCCAGGAGGTGAGTTACTAACTGCAGGATTCCAATCCTCTGACCTGCTTGCGTAGCCAATATGTTTTTTATGTGATGAGTTCAGTTGAGTTTCTGGTCAATGGTAACCCAAGGATGTTGATAGTGGGGGATTCAGTGATGGTAACACCATTGAATGTCAAGGTGTGGGGTTAGATTGTCTCTTATTGGTGATGGTCATAGCCTGGCATTTGTGTGGCACGAATGTTACTTGCCACTTATCAGCCCAAGCCTGGATATTGTTCAGATCTTGTTGCATTTGAACATGGGCTGCTTCAGAATGATGCTGTAGCTATTACATAGACAGTTAAAAAGTGTGAAGAAGACTGGCAACTTAATGGTCCGAGATTTAGATGTTTCGGGTGAGACAGAGAGGAATGCCAAAGAGGTGGGGAAGTTACATTCCTGATAAGGGAGAATATCACAGCCATACTGAGGGAGATCGTCTTGCGGGGGGCTTATCCGGCGAGGTCTGATGCGCTCAGGAATAGTGGGGGGGGTGCAATCAGTTTGATGGGGTTGTACTACAGGCCTCCCAAAAGCCAGCAGATGATAGGGGAACAGCTATGTGGACAGATTATGGAAAATTGTCAGAACAACAGGGTTGTTGTGGCAGGCAATTCTAACTTCGCCTGTATTGACAGAGGCTTGCTTGGTGCTGGGGGGTGGACGGGAGAGAATTTGTTGGGTGTGTTCAGTGTGGTTTTTTTGAAACAAAATATCAATATGTCAATCACTCATCCAGGTTGGTGGTAGAGTAGGAATGCAACATGTGGGCTCCTG